ATATATATATATATATATATATTTAGTATAATTTCAGAGCTGAGCAAAGAGTTTCCAGCAATCTGATTGGTCGAGCGGTTCCTTATATGACGCTATATAAACCGCTCCACGCGGTTTATATAAAATGTTAAAATAAAATGTTAATAAATGTTACTAAAATATTATGATTTTAGAAATTTCTCTGTTTTTCAGCTCTGAAATTATACTAAAACAATTACTCGCCTCAGCTTCGGTGAATATTGTCGAATAATCCCCTCGACTTCGTCTCGGGGATTATTCGACGATATTCACCTCGCCTTCGGCGAATAATTGTTAAATATAAAATCAGATTTGATCGAGATCATTCTACTGTAACCTTCACGTTTTGAATTTCAGCCTTTTCCAGTCCGCCCCTTCCAGATGGCGTGTTTGAAGGGGATATCGTTTTAACCAAACAACAGCTGATTAATATTGATATTCATGGCGATATCAGAGGCAATGTCAGCAGGGCAGCCAGCGGCAACGGACGTCTTAGATGGCCCAATGGTATCATACCTTACAAAATTGACTGCAGCTTACGTAAGTGATGTTGTTATTCTTTGAATAATTAAGGCGCAGTTGTGACTTGTTGTTTAATTGAGCCCACCAAGTGAAAAACATGAAAGAAATACATAACGCAAATGAAGGTAACTTTTAAGTTCAGAAGATGGTCATTACCGCGATGGTTGTTGCGCATTTAGCCGGAAGCGTCTTCAGGTTTGACGCACACAGCGTCTTGGTAAAAAACCGACTTTCAAACTCTCTGATTGGCTGTTACATTGTTTTCAAACGTTTGTATTCATGGTCATATCTTGAAATCAAAAAATTGGATCTGTGGAGGTGACGATCCGCTTTTGTTATGCTCTTTCGCCGAGTGTTCTCTCTTATTTTTGTTTTTCAGTGCTGTGATCCACTTTCTAGTAATGTGAGCTGTTTTGAGAAAACGGTTTCACTGTAAGTCTATCGAGGCTTTCATTAAAAAATATACCTTTGTCTTCTTGTTTTTTACAGAAAACATGCCCGACGCTATAAGTGCCATAGAAGCGGCTATAAAGGAATGGCAAAGCAAAACTTGTATCACATTCGTGAAGAGGACAACTCAACAAGACTACCTTTGGTTCTTCCGTCAAAGAGGGTAAGAAATGGAATTAACGTCAGACGTCCTGCTTTCTTCTCCCTTTACCCCTTTTCTGATAAATCCCATTCCTTCTTTCTTCCTTTGAACAAGAACATAAAGAGGGAGGCAGTCTGTGGGGTCTAGCGGTTCTAATCGGCCCCTTGTAATATTTTCCTTTGTTTTGATTGGTTGTTGTGATTGTTAAAGAAGGATTTGTTCAAATACCACACGTTTTCCCGCCCTTCTCTGGTTTTGCCTCTGTGGACCGCGGGCTTCAGTGCTCTTTTGGTCCTGTAGCGGCCATCTTGGTTTTGTTTTGTTTTGAGCTGAATTAAGTTATATTTTACTTGAAAATTTATTCCTGGTTATTCAACTGTTCTGGTATCGAGTACAGTGAGGGCTTTGTTTTTGTTTTTTCGACGTTTATATAAAAAGTGTTCTAAAAGTAAAAAATTGATTCCTTCAGGTGCTGGTGTAATGTCGGACGCATTGGTGGAAAGACGTATCTATCCGTTGGATTTGGTTGTGAATACAAGCACGTGATGGTACATGAGATCGGCCACGCGGTTGGTTTCTGGCACGAGCAAAGTCGTCCAGACAGAGATGGTTACGTCCAGGTACTGAAACAGAATATACTGCCAGGTACGTATGGACACGTCATTGTTGTTATATAAACGTAGCGATGTTAGAAGAAAAACTATGTCCATCTGTAAGTGTGTCTGTATCTCTGTATGTCTTTGTCTATCTGTCTGTCTGCCTGTCTGTATGCTTAATTGCATGATATCTCTTTTAAAATAAATGCAATATTAGTCAGTGATACAGCAGATGTAAAAGATGTCACATGGCCGCGTGTGGATACGAATCCTATTATCGAGTGTTTATCATGTATTCTCACAAGTGAGCCAAGCATATGAGTCACAGACGTAATCAACAAGAGAAGATGAATTCGTCTCCACACGTGGTTGTGAACTTCCTGAAATGACTGAATATCGATGGGATGTTTATATCAAAGGCAATGGTAACTGACGCTTCGACAACCTGAGCAGAAGTCATCATCAGTTTGAGTCTAATGTAGAAAAAAAAAATTACCAATTAGTTTATACGAACCGGACTTAGAACATTCGACTAACCACAACTATTCACTTGGCTCTGATGATGACTTCCGCTCAGTATGACTTCCGCTCAGTATGACTTCCGCTCAGTATGACTTCCGCTCAGTTTTCCGAAACATCAGCCACCACTACCGACAACCGTCCTTCCCAGGACTTCACTCATGTGGACGATCACACTACACTATCACAAATAGTTCACCACTAAATTTTCTCCGATTCTTATTGGTTTAAATTGATCACGTGACGCGATAGTGTTCATCCGCGGAGAGACACTATCAGCCCATAGTGCCCGTCCGCGGAAAACACCCGGATGGATAGTACTCATCCGTGAATAATTTTGAATGGTTTGACGGCCGCGAAGTTAGGCAGATCGGAAAAA